CTCCCTCCCTCCCTTCCTTACTTCCTTCCTTCCCTCCTTCCTTCCTTAGACTCCCTGCTTTACCCCTCTATTTGTCCCTCCCAAATGATGATGAAAATGGTGAAAATAGTGATGATGACGATGGTACAGATGACGTGGATAAAGATGGTGATGATGGGGAAGATGATAATGATGGCAGTGATAGTGATGAAGGGGATGTTGAAGATGATGATGACGATGGTGATAAATTAAAAGATTATGTTGAAGATGCATGATGATAATGAGTGTTGATAATCTTTAATGAGGGAAACCTGCTCACTAAACGTGGTTTTCAGTAGTGCCCTAGATGATAAAACTATTTATTTAAAGACGATAGGAAACTAATGTTTATCAAACAGCCACGAGTTGTCACGTGACTAACCTTCTCACGTGATACATCAACAGGTAGCTTGAGAACTGTAACATCCGGAAAGTTTGGCAATAGCGTTCCTCCAGGCGCCACCATCAGACTGGAGTTGGACCCGTGTGTTGTCTTGGTGATGGTGTGACTGGTCGTTCTTTCATCGGCTTCAGCTTTACTGTAAGTCTGACTGAACCTGTGGGAGGGAGGGAAGGGACAGTCGTTGTTAGGCAATAAGTTTAATAACCCTGCCTATGACTAAGCCTCAGGGAGTCTAATTCTACAAGTAACTTATAAAAACTGTAGAAAACAATTTTTTTCCTTCCTTTCTTTCTTCCTTCCTTTCCTCTCCTCTTCTTTTATTCTCTTTTTTCTTCCTTTCGAATTCCTTCCTTCCTTCCCTTTTTTCGTCTTCCCTTCCACGCTATTTTCTTTCTTTCTTCCTTTGATTTTGGCAGTTTAAAATCGAACGTTTTCGCCATTTATCAAAAAGCGAGGAGCAAAAAAGTAGACGCTCTATTTCTTAAATTTTCCCACTTAATAGTCTTCTTTGCTTTCTTACTCAAAGATGGAGCAAATGTCTTTACACTTAATTGCTCTTAAGAACATTCTTAATTTATTATTGCTTTTAGGAAATTACAAGCTAAATTAACACATCGCTTAGGTAACAAATGAATGAATGGTATCTGAACTCCGGCGGCATAAAAATTTGAATAAAAAATAATTTATTATATCCAAATGAATGGGGAAAAAAAACTGTGTTGATCACTTCAAAGAGATTAGTAACAGGGTCTTTTTATCCATGACAAAACATATGTTCAACTCCATATTTGGATTGTTCGGAAAAGCGGCAAACAAAAAGGTCCGGTCGTTTTATAACGAATTCGAACATGAACATTTTTGAAGAAGAAAAGAAAATAAAAAAAGACAATTAAAAAAAAAAACTTTGGAAAATCGAGGAAGGATACGGGGACGATGCTAACTCGTGGGTCTGCCTCGCAGACAACAGACACAGGGAAATACGACACTCATTGTTTGATATGGGATGCGTTAATGAGTTAATGAATAGATGATAAATGGATTAGGGTGGATAATGAATGAATAACAATGGCGAAATGTGATAAATAACAAAAAAATAGACAGGTTTTGTGTAGTACCAAAATTCGGGAATTACTATTGAATGGATGAATGAAAATTGACGAGAAAAAAGACATATCTTGACGCCAATTTTTAAAGAAAGCGATTGTTGAACGAGTATGAAATAAATTTATGAATAGAAAAACCCCAGTAGATGAATGCAGAATCATTTACAGACAACATATTTTTATTTCTTAACCAAAAAAGTTCCATAGATAATTGAAAAGATAACGAACAGAAAACAGAGTAAATATTTCAATCTCCATGGCATCCGCCGTTTCGCAAGTCCAAATATGCCATTAACTTTAATRGCGTAATAAAATATAAGAACCCTTTCAGTAATTATCTGATCGTAAACTAATGACTCACCCTGTGCTGCTTTGCCTTGCCGCGTTGCACACTGTATCATGATATGGCGAAGTGGCCTTGATCGTGATTCCATAATAATGATACCTGCAACAGTTGTTCCCACGGAAACGTCAGTTCACACGTTTTTAACAGATCTTAATAATACTAACAGTCCTTATATTGAACAGTCCTTATATTCTTTATAGTCAATTTAAATTAATTTTCCTTTCACCGCTTTGTTTACTCGACAATGATATTGTGCTTTTGCTGCTGTTTTTCGTTCGCTTTTCGCTAAATAACAAAGAACGATTCTCAACGCCCGTGAGAAAATCGGCTAATTCTCAAAATCTGCATGAAAATAACTTTAAATTGGTGGCACAAAAACAAAAAACATTAATAACTTCGGCTCAATTAAAATTAAATTTCGTTACGCAAATAGAGACTTTCCGGTTATACGAAAGTTTTTATGAATCTAAGTTCCCTAACTTTTTTTTTTTTCAATTCCGTATGATTCGCCGTGAGTTCCAGTTACAATTCTCACAAAATTTCAGTGTCAAAAAATAAAAGAGCAATAATGTTGTCCACTGAAAACAATTTCCATTTACTCTACTTGAATTCTTTATAGAAAAAAGTGTTATTGAACTCATTTTGGATCAAAGCCGTTTTGTTTGCTATGACTGGTAATATCCAAAAAGTCTCAAGTGCTTTTGTTCAGACTATAGAATGGCTCTCAAAATTTCGACATATTGCCTTAAGATAGTCTCTTAATCCAAATATATAACCGCAGTGAATTTTAATATCACGATAAATCGAATTTTTAAATCAAATTTAAGAATAGTTTTCAAAGTTGACAGTTTAAAAGATTACTTGGTTAACAGGATCTTAGCAAACGCGGAATAGCTGTCATTTGCTTCAGAAAGAATGTTTTGGAAATGATATTCCACTCTTTGCATGTGTTCCACCTATGAACACTTTGACTCGTATCAAATGTATGGCTTTCCTTGTATTGTTTGCCTAATGGTCTAGATGAACGGGTGATGTATTCATATTTTCTCATTAGGTGATATTATACCTTGGGAAACTAAAATTAAAAAAAAGGGAAAACAATACTAAGTCATCCATCGAACCACAGCAATGAAATGTCTGCTATTTATAAATATTTCGAGAAGAATACATATTTTTAAAAAATGAAGTACTAGTAGAGTTGAATTGTTAGCGCCGCGGGCTAACCTGTTCTTTCAAGTGTTTTTTCATATGTAGTTATAATCTGCTACGGCAAACACATGGATAGTTGCACAATTTACGCGTTTTCGTGAATCTTCAGGTCATTGCACATTCAATGAAACCACCAGTGTTATCTTTCACTGATAGGAATCTCTAATTTTAGTTATATGAACAAAATGAGTGTCTCTTTGCGACACCTTGACTAAATCTATTTTTGGAGACGGAAGGGAGGTGGAAATAGAAAAGGATGAAAATAAGTCCGAATAGCTGCATTTTCAGGAAGGGATCTTTCCAAAGAAAAGCAGACAAAGATGTTGAAATATGAAGAAGAAAATGGTTGGCTTTTTCAGGAAAGTTGCATACAGAGATAAAAAAATTGTTACTAATATTAGCTGGGTATTTGTATTTGAAAAAAAGGAAAAAAGTACGTGAAAGACCCGGTGCCTTGCATTGGCCGTTAATCTTGCACCATAGTTAACTATGGCTTGCAAAACCTGCTGCCAGGGGAAGTACTTCCGTTAGCAAGGAAATTATTCGCAAAGGTTGAAGACAGGCAAACGAGACTGAAGTAGAATTTGCCGAAACTAAACTTATTGTACCTGGTTTTGTCGTCTCTCGAACACAAACTTTATAAATATACTTTAGTGTGAGTCTTTTCTTAGTTTCCGAATTCTACTTTTATTACATAACGAGTTACTTTCTCCAACAGGTACCATCTATTATTACAATTTGTAAGAAACTTCTAGATGTATCCCCGAGGCGAGGGCTCATTTTTCGAACCACCTTGATTAGTTTGTGATCGTTATCAAACCATAGCGAAACTATTAACTATGATCAAACATTAAACAGGCCCGTCGCTAGGGGTTGTCCTATGGTTCGAATGAACGCCCCCGTCCCTCTCCCCCTATGCAAAAAATGCAATAAGATCCAATCAATGAAAATCTTTATCAAGAATTTGCATAACTGAGAAAAACGAGGTCCTAGCGACGGGCCTGCATCATACTCAATGTTAACGTCTAGTTATTGATCGGCCAGGACCTTTAATTCCATTGTGTATGGCACAGACTTCGCATTCATGTCATAGTGGCATTTTGGTTCCAACCGAAGACCGAGATATTTCGGTTCCGGATTTAGAAAAAGAGGATTAAAGCGACAACGACCCCGGATTCGACTTGCACCAATATCCATAGAGTTTAAGAATATAAAAAGACCTATTTTTTATTTTCTATTTCCGTGCCTTTTTGCTTGTTGCCATAGAAAAGTAAATTCAGATTTAGCGCCAGCGAATATAGCTGCTAATTATTTGGTCGAGCCATATCACCATATCTCAGTGATCGACCCAAGGTTTATACACACCTCCCAGGACGAATAAACTTTTTTTTGGTCGTTGGATATTAGAGTTAGAGAAGTGAGCCTAATACTCTGTCTTTTCCCCACGCGAGACACGTGTGATTCACTTGAAAACATCTAAACTTAGCGAACCTTTTGATTCATAAGCCAAAGTCTATATTGTAAGTATCATTGTGGTTTTAGATTTCATTTTTAACACACACAATAATTGCATTGCCTAGGCTACAGACACGGTGACATGATGATCAGAATACACTAATTAGATATATGTATTTAGATTCATATATTGATTTATATCTTCGAATTTCATTTTTGGTCAACTTACTTGGATTGTCCTCTTGTGCCAAGTCTTCGAGTTTTTAGGTTTGGAAATGTGTTGCGAATGATCTGTCGAGAAATTTTCAACAAAAAAATGCTTCTTAGGCCCCGGCTAAACAAGGAAACATGTTTCCAGAAACATGTTTGTCGACCGCGAGCATGTTTCCTCGATGTTTCCCAGCCACACGCGCAAAACATTCATGCTGCCTGCATCAAATTTTGTTTCCTAGACGTAAAAAATGTTTTTGCTGTGCGGCAGAAACATTTCATGTTTCCAAGACGCATGGAAACATTTTTTCCCGATGTTTCCTGACAGTTTTGCCACATGTTTCTGGAAAAATGTTTCCTCGTTTAGCCAGGGCCTTACAACGTGTTCGTCATGTTATTCACGTACGATCTGCACTCATCCATGCAACAAGTAAGCATATCATCTGGTCA